GGCGCTCGTAGAGCAGAGTGGAGAAGTGCGATCACAGAGCCTGCCGAGGCTCTGAAATGACTTTGATTTGTTGTTTAAATAAGGGGCCTACAAAAACTATCAGCCCCAGGACCTGATGGCAGGTTAAGGCGGGCTTGCAGATACTGACTGGTTCTCAGACCCCCCCAATAAAGCAGAACTGCACGTTTCAGAGTGGCCTTTTATTGTGGCCAGCCTAAGGCACACCTGTGCAATAATCATGCTGTCTAATCAGCATCTTGATATGCCACACCTGTGAGGTGGGATGGATTATCTCGGCAAAGGAGAAGTGCTCACTATCACAGATTTTTTCAGATTTGTGAAAAATATTTGAGAGAAATGGTTATTTTGTGTACGTAGAAAATGTTTTAGATCTTTGAGTTCATCTCATGAAAAATGGGAGCAAAAACAAAAGTGTTGCATTTATATTTTTGTTCAGTGTAGGTGAAGCCACGGCTTTAACTGAAGATTATATTCATGATCCTTAAATCTGCAGACTGTTGTCTCATCATTTGGTCTATACAACGTTAGAGTTATTTCAATGTGAATTAAGATCAGATCATTTTGGAGAACAGCAGGAAATCCCTTTTTTTTAATTACTTTTGACAGTCTAGTATTTTAGTCTATGCATCGTTGTACTCTTCATAAAAGTGATATCAAATTAGGAAGTTTCTATAAAAGATAATGGATGTTGTTGTTTATAAACTGTTACATTTGGATAGCATGACCCTCATACTGTAACATTTGCACATCACATGTTTTAACTGTGATGGTAAAAAGGTAGATTTGTTTAGATGTGGAAGCAAAAGGTGCGCATGTTGACTTCTTCTCACTTCACCAGGTATTCTGCCGACACCAGAGGAGATCGATGTGAAGGAACAGAAGCAGATTCCTGTGGTGAACCCATGTGCTGATCCTCTTCAAACCAAAGAGGAGATCCAGGTGAAAGCTGCAGATGTCCTACCTAAGAACGAGGACATTCTCACCACACCTGTCAAATCTGAGCCTGCAGAGGAGCACACAGCACAAACACTGTTTCTTCATGGAGGAAACGAGAGGGCGAGGGAAGAAGGAGACGACCTCAGTGAGAACGTCTCAGCTTTTGAGAGGGAGAGCCAGCAGTGGATGTCCGGCAGCGCAGAGATCAGCAGCTCGGAGTTTCACAGCATGGCTTCCTTCCCGGGGTTAGCTCAGTTACTGCCTCCATCCGTCGAGGCGTCTTGCAGCTCCTTCTCCTTTCCAGGGAAGCCGTACGGAGAGCTCAAGAACAACATGGTGTCCCAAACACCTTACGCCTCCTCAGACTCGCTCATGATTCCGGGGGAAGGAGGGATGCATGGAGCCGCGCTGAATCACCAGAGAGGAAGCCGGCTGTTTCAGGTGATCAAACCAAAGAAGTGCTTCGTCTGCTCGTTCTGCGGGAAGGACTTCGAGCGCGTCGGCCATCTTGACAGACATTTACGGATTCACACCGGGGAGAAGCCGTACGGGTGCCAGATCTGCGGGAGGTGCTTCAATCAGAAGAGCAGCCTGAAGGGCCACATGAAGACGCACAGGAACGGTAAGATGTTTGCCAAACGTATTACAAACGATTTAAAGGCTTTATCGTTGTATTTAGTTAATATTAAAACGTACCTGTCTATTACCTTTGTATTTTTTCATAATGCATAAATTGTCAGACTTCAGACACACTTTTTATTTTGTGGAATTTTTCTTAATTCCAAGTTACTATATTACAAGTGCTTGTTTGCACCAAATGCAAAATGTTTAGATTTAGTTTATCATTGAAGAAAACACATGTATATACATTCCTAATATAACAGGGAGGATCAGTAAATATTCAAATCTGGCATTTTTGACAAAAAGCAAAACAGACAGCGACCAAAACATTGACTACCTCAAAATGTTATACACAGGTGATCCATTTAAAAAAAAAAGTATTTAATTTTCATTGTTTCCGGAGCCGTGACAGTCTTAAAAATAATGAAACCCATTTATATTAAAAAAAACATTGCAGATAGATATCCACAGGTACCACTGCTGCAGATAAAAGCAAAACGAAAACAATTATCTTTCATAAACGATTTGCTAATTACATTCTTCTGCTTCTTTTTTTTTCCTGAAAAGGGGAGAGCTCAGACATGCTGGAGCCACATCACCTGATGCTCACGATGCCGGACAATCAGACGCTGAAGAACCTCCTAGAACCAAGAACCGGCCCGGCAGAACCAGAGGGACAGGAGCCGACCATCACGTACAGAGAGGCAGCCGGAGAGCAAACGGTGACGGTGAAGCTGGAGCCCAACGGGGAGGATTATCACCCTCTGAGTCACAACAGCACCGGAGCAACGGAGCAGAGCCAGCTGTGGACATCTGGGATGGAGCAGAGCAGTGATGAGGAACAAACTGTGTGTGTACTTCTGCGTGACAAGTATCACCTCAGTTCTGAGCAGCAGGAATACACGCCACAAGTCAACGATCTGCCTTTTCTAGGTGCCAAAGAGAAGGGAGAGATGATGCACAATGATCAGTATTCAATGATGCATTCAAGGAACACGGACATGTCCTTAGTTCCAGAGCTGCAGGATCAACACGTTGATCAAGAGGCTGTGAGTGAGTACACAGCCGTGAGGGACAGGACTCAGGAGGGAGGTGTGTGTGAGTTTAATATCTCAGATGGAGACCCGAGCAGACAAAACTGCTTTATATGCTCCAGTTGTGGGCAGAGCTTTCATAGTTTCAGTCTGTTCCAGAGACACCCGTGTCAAAGCGTCACAGAGCAATCCTTCAGCTGCACCATATGTGGGAAGGTTTTCAATCAGATGAGCATCCTGAAGCTGCACCTGAAGCTACATGTAGAATAAATGATACGGAACAAGCTTCATCACATCCATACGTAACAAGTGGCACACATTAGTAGGGCTGCCCCCGACTAAAGATTTTTCTAATCGACCAATTATTAATTATAATATTACAGATATTATTCATATTTGAATACAACCCGATACACACTACAGAGGAAACGGAAAAACACGGAAAATATCTTCCTTGACTCGCTCAGAAAGATCCACACTTTAGATGTCCTGCCCGACCTGAAAGACCAGGCTCCGCTCTGAACGAAGTCTCAGGGTTTCCGGCTGACGCGTATGGAGCTTTTTTTTCAACTACTCGACTAATTAAAAATTTGGGGGCAGCCCTACAAATTAGTTTAATATATAGGTCAATAGCATTTTTAAAGAAATACTTGACCAAGGCTAAAGCAGAAGATTGAAGAGCTTTTCGTTTTCTATTTGCATTATTTGTTAAGTACGGTCTCATGGCACGAAGGATCAATCTGTATTCCTGATATTTTGCACTAAATGTTTTCCTTTTTGTTTGTACCTACATTGCTCCTATCTTATTTGGAGCCGGCTAATGACTTAATCCCTGCACAGAGGAACCTAACAATGTCAAGCATTACCGGTTTGAATGAAACCTCCCATATGTTCTGTCACTTGGACTGATATCTAGTTTCACTTTACCGATTTTTTTTACTGGATTATTTTTTACAATTTCTGTCTTTGTTTCAAATCGTGATAACAGTCACACGTTAAGTTAAAGGTAAATTTTTACCTTTATTTTTGGTCTTTTCAAACTAATCTAACCACACCCTCTTGCACACTGTAATTTTCCATTTAATTATATTTACTTAAAATAAGTAAAGGGAAAACCATTTGCTCTGTAACTGAATATCCTGATTAGAAATTCAACATGTTTGTTTTTTCCAGGATAAACTTGGGCCAATCTTATTTCTCATCTTAAGATAATAATACACACTTTTGTATGAGCGGTTTTAAGTGGAGTTTGGCTGTATCAGAACAAAAGCTTTAAGTGAATTGATTTGGCATTTCGACTAAGATACAGGTTTATTCTCTATTCTGATTTTGAATGCCAGTTTCTTTAAGCCTTGATAAGATATATTCTACGTGGTTTCACACTAGTATACTGAATCTAAAATATATTTAGTATTTATTTTCTGGAGTATATAATAAGATTATTATTCTTTAAAAAGTTGCTTATGTGGTGGGCAGTTGTGTTTTTACTTTACCAAAACAAACCTCATACAACAACATCTTGTACACCTCAAATTCAGTTGACCTTTGAAGCAGCATGTAAAGGTATCTCAATAATGTCTGCTTCATATTGGTTTAGTTTAATCTTTAAAAGGCAAGTTTCTACGGAGCCCCCCCTGGTGACATTGGTGAGAAAAATATTAATTCGTGGCCACGTATTAATAATGCGTGGCCACGAATTAGTTATTATGTTCCCACGAATTAGTAATGCGTTGCCACACAAGGGTCCGTTGCCAAGGGTCCGTTGCCACACAGGGTTCCGACGCTGATCTGCCTGACGAGGCTCCATTAAAATATAAATATTTTTAGTGAATTACTGAGTTTAGGCACGTTAATAACGTTTTAATGAAGTTGAATACAGTATATTCATATTTGTCAGTGCTTTCATGTCAATTCGGCGAACATAAACATAAATGATCGTGGTGAAGATGATGATTAAATTAGAATTAAAAATCGAGAGCATTTCCTCCCGTTCGGCTTCCTGATGTTTTTTGTACAGTAGTTGTGGACTAACCAACATTATTTTGTTAAATAAAAACATGGTGACGTTTTGTAGCCTAAATGATTACATGTCTCTTATTTAGCACATAGTATGATCCGCCTATGGGCGTGTCGCCTTCTGTCCTGCCAGTGTTGGCAGGACATGAATTAAAATGTCGAACTCTGACTTCATTTTGTAGGCTTCATTATAATTAAATGTATTTATCAAGGGGGCGGTCTCAAGTCACGCTGGAGGTTTTCCTTTGAGCGAGAGCAGACCCTGTGCCGGCCACGGCCCTCGCGTCTGAAATGAGGTGCTACATCTGTAGTGTTGTCACTCAGTCATCAGTTTCTATAGACTATCTGGATTTAGTTATTGCGTAATAATTAGTGTTCCCACAAATTACTAATGCGAACATAATAACTACTTCGCGGCCACGCATTATTAATACGTGGCTCTACGTACCTCATTACAGAGCTCAATAATTATTGTGTGGCAACGCATTACTAATTCGTGGGAACATAATAACTAATTTGTGGGAACATAATAACTAATTCGTGGCCACGCATTATTAATACCTGGCCACGTATTAATATTTTTCTCACCAATGTCACCAGGGGGGCTCCGTAAGTTTCAAAGTGTTTTTGAAGAAAGGGAAGGGACAGATATGTTACGGCTAAATCATATGCACTAAACTTGCATTATGTATAAAGAAGCATTAAGTGTAACGCATGTCTCTTTAGTCATCAAGCATTTGAGTCATACAATTTGAGGCTCTTCTATAATTTTATAACATTTTATTGATCATTTATTGGCATTTATCAAATATGCCATGGTTTCCTGACATTTTCCTATCAGTGAGAACAAATGACACAGCCAGTGTTAAGCATTAAGCACATCAAACAACTATCATTTGAAAAGGACAGTATGATGTGTGCCTTCTTTTTTTTACATGCTGAAATCCCCGACCCGTCCACTGCACTGTTACTGTTTTTATTGAAGTTTAAAGAGTGTTTACAGATCAATATTTTCAATCAGACTGCCAATTGTAGTATGATTTCTGCATAACTCAAGCACATTATACAGGCTGTTAGAACACGTTTGAAAAGATACACATGTAATGTATTTTTTGTTATACATTTCAATCGAAGTGTGGAGTCTGGCACTCTTATGTCTGGCACTAGTTATTTTGATGTTTGTTGAACAGTGGAAATAAAGGATTTTTCTATGTTAAATCTTTCCTGAACAACTTCCTGGTCTTCACTCGCAGTCATCATCGAAAAGTGTGTTTTTATTTTATCCCCACTAAACCCGAAAAGGACATAATATGGACCCCTAATTTATATCATATTTCCATTTCCAGGCTTGACAAAACTTACTGAAAGGATGAATTGATTATCAAAATGGTGGTTTTGCACATCACCTTATTGATAACAACTAATCCTTACAGCTCTCATTAAGACTTGGTAGTAGCTTTTGGTACGGACATGTAAGGGGAAAAAGAACCACAAAGAAAAATGAAGGCCTACTTTTCGTGTGAACTTCTATTTTTAATAGACCAGCACTTTGCTGTTTTGAATAAATGTACCTACCAGAGGGCAGAGCTAATATCTCCCAAAATGTCAAGATATTACTTGTTTGTTTGTAGCCTTTATTTAACCAGGTGAAAATCCCATTGAGATCAACAATCTCTTTTTCAAGGGAGACCTGCAAATCTTCAACCTCCTTCAAATCTAGGCTGTCCAGTTGTCCGCCATGTTAAAGGTGACCTATCATGCAAAATGCACTTTTGTACGTATTTTATACATGAATATGTGTCCCCGG